AAAAAAAAAAAAAAAAAAAAAAAAAACAACATAAGTTGTTTTAAATAAACAATTCCAAACACCCCCTAATATCAAAAAAAAATTATCATTTTTTATGATATATTTTTATATTTATATTTTATTCCAAAATAAAAATATTATTATTTTTTTCAAAATCATATAAAACTGTATTATAACAACAAGTAAGACAAAAAGAAAAACGAAACGTTAAATCCGAGATGTATCTCGTTACATCGTACGAGTACCCTTCTAGTTAATTTTTAATGTATGTTTTCGGCATTGTTCAAAAAGACTCGCCGTAACAGTCTTCATTGTGTGTGGTGATTCAAGTCTTGTATCACATGTCATGTTAAGTTTGTAGTAGGTCATGGTCTAATGCATATTTTCAACACAATATTTAATTTTTTCTTATATTTTTAATGTTTTATTTGTTTGTTTTTAATATATAACCTAATTTAAATTGTTTATTATTATTAACTTATTGAGTAATATTAGAAAATGTATGTTTCTATATAATATTATATATGATATAGAGATATGTCATCATAAGTCACGTCTTCAAAAATGTCATGGTCTAGTCATGACTCCTAAGACTTGAGGTTTGACCTTAACGCCACATTATGTTTCACGTCATTTAGAGCCTTGATTTTTTGAGCATATTAAAGAAATTTTCATTTTAAAGATTATCACATTGATTATTACAATATTTCATATATGTAATAAAATATTATTTATCTCATAAATATTGTGCACTAAGATCTCTTGCTAGTGTGAATATATAAAAATATGTTCTGCAAATTTGAAGAATTATATATATATATATATATATATATACTTATAATAAATAAGTAACTTGGATGACACATGTCATATTCTTGTGAGTCGGTTTTACTATTTTTCAGCCTAAACATGTATCTAGACACAATTTACATTAGTGGTTCATTTAGATTTCTTTGAATGTATCTAGACACAATTTACATTAACAGTTTAATTACACTTATTTGATTGAGACACTACTAAAAAATGTGGTTTTCCCGACGGCAAAATCCGTCTGAAAAACAACTTTCCGACGGATATTGCAGTTGGAGAACCCCCCGCCGCTAAATGCAAATTCCGTCGAAAATCCGTCGGTAATGTTCAAAGAATTTTTTATTTATTTATATGTTTTTTCTTCTAAAAATATATATTTAAAAATTTCAAAATTTACGACTGATAATAATTTTTATAATAAAAAGTTATATTCCAACACAAAAGAGTTATACTCCTTCGGAAATCCGTCGGAACTTATTTAAAAAGGTATTTTTTTTTAAACATATATTTTTTTAAATAAATTCCGACGGAATATAACTTTTTATTAGAAAATTACAATCCGTCGGAAATATTTTTTAAACATATTTTTTTGGAAGGGACAAGAATAAAAATAATTCTTAAACATTTCCAACGTGGTATAATTAAATATAAAAATCAATTAAAATCCGCCGGAAATTTTAATTAATTAACGCTAATTAGTTTATTTAAATAAATTAGACCAATTTTATGACGGATTTCCGACGGATTTGTAACAGTATTAAATAAGTAAAAGAATTCGTTACAAATCCGTTGAAAACCCGACAGGAAAGTTGTAAAATAAAATTTTATTTAAAAAAAATCAGTGTCAGATTTGTGGTGGATTTGTGTCGAACGTCGACAAAAGTTGATTTTTTTTACTATACAGAGCTCTGAAGTCTGAAGGGTTTTACTTCAGAGTTATTTCAAGAGTACAAGTCCAAATCTGAAGTCATTCTTTAGAATTATACTTCAGAGTTATTTCAAGAGTACAAGTCTGAAGAGTCGTTCTAAATTTACTTCTAAGTTTAAATTCAATTTACTGATATAGTTTCATTTTTAAATTTAATTTTATTCTAGAGTTAACTTCATTTTAACTAATTATTGATATAGTTTCATTTCTAAATTCAATTATTCAAAGTTATTATTCAGAGTTATTTCAAGAGTACAAGTTTGAAGTTGCATCGTACTTTCGGTGATCATTAATATCTGTAAGATACGTTTCTGACATGATTTAATTTTTTTAAAATTAACCCGTGTAATACACGGGGATCGAACCTAGTATGTATATATATATATATAAGAAAATTATAAAAACTAAAAAATATTTTATATATGCATCATTGATTTATATTTTGGGGGTGTTTGGGATTATTTATTTGAAATAACTTATGTTTTTAAGCACTTGTCAACTTATTATAAGTTAGAAGAGTTTAACTTTTTCAAAAACTCTTTATTACCGGTTTGGCACCGGTATAAGTTGTTTATCCAAACACTCAAGAGTGCTTATCACCGGTACCACACCGAAATAAGTCAATAAGTTGTTTTTATAAACGATCCCAAACACCCTTTAACAATTATATCCTTACAAATTTAAAGTTTTCAAAAACAAAAATTAAAATGCTTTATATAAAATGCTTCTCGAGAATATAAATCAAATTTTTTCTTCATTTCCGTTTTCTTTTCTTTCATTTCCAAATTCGAAAACACAAAAAGAATAATATTACTTGAGAAGTAGTTCATTCCATTTCATATGACAAAGTAAACGACATTTTCTTGATTCCAATGGAATGAACCAATCCATTCCTTTCATCGATTCCTCCGTACCAATCAAACATTCTCCGTATAGAATCAATCATCCATTCCTTTCTTCGATTCCTCCATACCAATCAAACATCCTATGTATAGAATCATGTCGGGTTATTCATTCTTCTAACAGTTACTTCATCATAAAGAAGTTTTTCAAAACCGAATTTAACAGGAAAAAAATAATACTAAAATTAGCGTATGTTTTGTCTGAAAGGAAAGTTGGATAGATTACAAGCCAACGACGAAAGCTTGTAGTTTGGATTCCATAACGACTAAAAAGACGAGAATATTAGGTAAAGTGTGACTTAATCAAATGGGAAATATTGGGTTTTGGTATTAGTATTGATTCAGAAAATCTTCAAGTTATTCTTGCTTTTAGGAATCCATTGTATATGTATATATATACACACCCTTTTCATTTCCAATCTTTCTGTGCCTGTTTGATCATAAACAGAAGAAAAGTGCTTTTCAGATATAGCTGCTTTTTAAGGAGTATTCAGACTTCAATTCAACAAGTAATCTCTTTCTGATCTTCTCATATTCTACAATATGCATGCTTTCTTTTAAATAAGGAATAAAGTTGGTTTAATTTTGATCATTTGCTAGAATTATTATTAAGTAAACATATTTTATTGTCTAAGGGGAATTACGTTTACTTGTTTTTTAGATACAGACCGGGCTCTCGAAAGCTCATGTGACCAGGAGGTAGGCTGCTCATGGGTTGGGTTGATCGCGGGTTAAAGACATTTGAGCAACTCAACCCAATGCTTACGGTTTAAAAAATCTTAACCCAACCCAACCCGAACCAAAGTGCAACTCAATCCAACCCAACCCGTACGGGTTGGTCGGTTGATACTTTGGTACATTAAAACATTCTTCTAACCTATAATATGTTATTTCTCTACTCATAATTTTTTTTCATCATCAACCATTTGATACAATTTATCAATACTTCTTACGTATATCACATTCAGTTAATTTTCTCAATTTACAAATATATGTTCACAGTTACTGAACATATATATGAATGAGTTATATAAAGATGTGAATAGATTGAAAATATGTGTATATGAAGAGCATACATGATAGTGTTAATCGTCTAATGTGCATATTTATAGAAATTCAACAATCATATTAAACTCAAGAAATAAAAGGATATCGAGTTCATCGGGTTGGGTTTGGTTCAAATAATAGTAACTCAATATCAACCTAATACCTACGGTTTGACAATTTTACAACTCGATTAGACATCAGGTTGAGTTATTTCGTGTTGAGTTGGGTTGGGTTGATCGGGTTTTTGAGCACCCCTAGCCGGAGGTGGGAAGATATGGGCACAAATTAATACTTCTGTGATAATTTTATCTGTTGTTGCTACAAGCAGCACATCAAACTGTTGTATATATATATATATATATACATATATATATATATACATATATATAGGGGGAAGATCAAATGTTAACCAACAACTTTGTGTTAACTTTGAAAACCATG